TGTCGAAAACATTTGGCACATTATGAAACAAAAACCTACGACAGCTGGAAGTGCTGAAATCCAATATCCCCTGAGAACTGAGAAACATTTGGTTTTCTAAACACTCCGAGCGCTGATAAAAGAAGAACGTGATGCAACACAGTGATAAACTCACTCCCAACTATTTTTAAACACGCCACCAGCGGTGAATTTAACGTGAGATTAAGATATACATCCACTTCATTCTATATACAGCTTAGGGTTTATAAATTAATAAAATTATAATAAGATCACCAGGGGCCATACCTCTGTTGGTGCTTGGCAGCCTGCTCCTTCCAGTACTCCAGCTCTTCCTCCAGGGACCCAAACACTGGAGGCTCCCGGTCCCCCATCTCTAGGGCAGGCTCTTCTCTCACACACCAACACTAGTCTGTGGGCAATTTCAATAAAGAGCTGAACTACTGTTTGAAAGCGGCCAGTTTATCTTCATTGTTACACAGGCTTGTGAAAAAACAGGACCTGAAGTAGGAAATAAATTGAGATGATTCTTGTGAGTTTTCGCAATAATCCGGCACGAAAAGAAGCAGAATTTATACAAAATAAATCTGAACTTTCAGAGTTCGCTCGTCGCAGCTATCCGTGGTGTAAGGGCGTGCTTGGAGAACATCGTTCAGTTTTAAGTGCAGTTTATCGAACACCTGAGTGTATGCCGAATTAAGGAGCATACCGTGTTGCGTCCAAGAACGTAATAATATTTCCAACTTCCACAAATAGTGTAAGCAATTGAAGTAATGTAAACGATTTTAAATGAAAAACTTACACGGAGTCTGGTCACACTGTGAGCGAGACCAAAAAAGGGAACTTAATGAGCATGCGTTACAGTAAGACTTGCATCAAAACCTAGAACTTAGTTTATCTTTTTTTTAATACTAGTAACACATTCCTTTAGAGTCGTATTGGTTTTTAACTCGTATACAACAAAGTTAGATGACTGCAAACAAGCCACCGCTAGCCACCTAGTTGGGCTAACGGAGTTTAACCATTTAAATCCCCGCTGAGACTAACATATGACTTCAGCTACTTACGCTCAACAGTTGTCTCCGTTCGACGACAAATTAACCAGATTGAACACTTCTCTAAATCTTCTCCATGTCTTCTTTAACTTGTGGCGCTTTGACGATGAAATTTCAAGCAGAATCGTTCAAACAAACCAATTTAACGGACTCGCCTTAAGTTGGAGAACCGCAAAGTTAGGAAGACGTCGAACAATACACTTTGCCATTCATATTGTCCAGACCAATCCACCAATCAGAGGTTACAAGGGAGCCTCGTTGCCTCTCGCTATTGGTGAACTGTCTGTCAATCAAGGACTGGCAGGCGGGGTTTATAATTATTGTCCAATCACAGTAATGATATCAATGTAGAATGGGGGAATCTACCAAAAGGGATCTTAACAGTCCCAAGAGTCTAGACGTTTTTGATGGATTACCAGAGGATGCTGCCTTTAAGTGCTGTTGGAAATGTGTCGAAAAAACAAATATTAAAAAGAAGTTCTAGAATATAGGCATGTAAAAGTTATTAAGACCATTATTATTTTTAATTGCAAAATAAAAACATATATAAATATATTTATGTTTATATTTATTTAATAATTTTTTTTGTTTCATAAATAGCTGCCAGCCATAAAGAAAAGTGATAAATTCAGATAGATCAAATTTTGTTTGTTTTTTGAAAGGGTGGTAAATTACTTTTGCAAAAAAGTTCAGGAAAGCTTTTATTTTATTTACTTGTTGTTTATTTTGTGTGTGCGTTCTACTTTAAAGAGCCCCTGCTCACGACAGTCCTGTGTTTGTATTGCATATTGTTAAAAGATGGCATTTAAATTATTTTTGTATTCTCTTGGAGTGCACCTTAAGTTTTCTTATTGTTAAAGAAAAAAGTACATTCATAAGAAATAATATTGTTTGGAGAAGATAATAATGTACCATCCATCCAGCATTTGTCCAAGGCATCCTGGTCAGATGTTGAGCCAATACTGAAGGATGCAGCTGTCACTTTTAGAAGATGCTTATTTCTGCTACTGGTATCTTGGTTCTTATTCTTTCAGTCACTACCAATAATGACGAGGATACTGGTGAGGTCACAAATGTAGCTCAGCTCAGAATCTGTAAAACAAAGGGCTGGTGTGACAGGACAGGATGGTAGTAACAGGGTGAGACAGAAGCCAGACAGCTAAAGGAAGATTCGTTCATGCTTATACTTTTTTGCAAATGTATATGTGCATGTTTTTTTGTTTTGTTTTTTAGTAGAGCTATTCATTTATTTATGACCTCATTATTTTGGCAGTGCTGGTCCCCCCTAGTTGCCTTTGCAGCTTCGGTCTCCCTTCATCTGTCTGCAGGCATCCCTGGCTCTGTGGCCAATTAGACCACAGGACGAGTGTTGTCACCAAGTACTTGCTCAAAAGAAACCTCAGGGTTTCTCATTGGAAATAAACCACTTGTTGTTTTCACATAACCAGACAAGGAGCTGTGTGATAAAGCTGAAACTGTGTGGATGTGTGATTTAAAAAGAGATCAAGAAGCATGTTAAATCTTCAACTTCTTTGTCTGCTTACTTCAAGTTACTTTTATTTCTGCCAACCCAAATGTGAGTTTCAGCTTTTTTAAACAATTTTATAAAAACCAAAATCACTTTCCAACACTGGGTGGCAACAGAAGCTTCATCATGTGATCACTTTTTTACTGAGATGACGTCATTAATGGTTATTTATATTAACCATTGTGTTTTTTTTGTATCAGTTACTAAACCTGTGCTTAAATTTAAGTCCTCTGCAGCCGCCCCCTCACAGTCTGTCGCTTATGTTTCCCAGGGTTAGAAAAGAAGGGCACTTGGCAGCGTCCTTCACTCTGATTGGGTAATAATTTCACTTCCTGTTGATGGGGTCAGAGGTCGGAATGACTGGGTCAACTCTGTCCTTTTGCAAAGGGATTAAGGAGGCCTATCTGATCCTGGTTAATCCACCCGCACATCACTGGAGCATAAAGCTTTTATACACACACACACACACACACACACACACACACACACACACACACACACACACACACACTGTACCCTTGCTTCATATCTGTGCTGCATGTTTTGAGTCCACACACTGACAGCAGATTATAAACATGAACATGTGACCGTCACTGACATTAGCAGCAGTCTGGTTAAAGTGATACATCTGTTTTAAGAAATACTTTTATTTGCTTTTAGAATGAAATCTATTAAAAGACTGATGTCAGTACTGTGTGTTGGTAAAATCTAACTTTAATTTTATTCACACTTGTTTTTGGAGTTTACTTACTTATATTAGTATTAGTTGTCTGTGCTGAGCAGTAGAGTTGACTAAACTCATTTAAAGGTAATAATTTGTATTAAGAATACTTCCTCTGTGGTGAGAACAAAGACTCACTGCGCTGTTGATGTTTCACCTCAGATCTTTGATTTAGTCTTCACTTCACTATGATGTGTTTAGACGACCACGTTTGAGACTTCTGCAGTGATCAGTAACTTTAATAAATCCAGCTTTCCTGTTGTCTCTGCAGCGTATGGATCACAGAAAACAGAGAACCCTGTCTCTGAATCGTAAATATTGTGTGCATGCTATAAAGTAAATATCCAGCCCATTTATAATGACGCTTTCTTACGTCAGCATGAATTTCTTCACTATAATTTAGCTAAAAAAAATATTTATCTGCCCTGCGACAGACTGGCGACCTGTCCAGGGTGTACCCCGCCTCTCGCCCTATGACAGCTGGGAAAGGCTCCAGCGCCCCTGAAAAGGATAAGCGGAAGCGAATGGATGGATGGATAATATTTAGCTCTTCCACTCTTGTTTACCGGTACATTAAGTGACTTATCCTGTTATGCACACTAAAAACAAAACAATGCATCAATCCTAATTTAAGGTTAGCTAATGTTTTAAGACTCTTTTTAAGAGTTTGTATTAAAGGTTTTAATTAAAGCCAGTCTGTCAATTTTTACAGGATAGCTCGATCTGGTTAGACAAACGAGTTGCCAGAAATTGGAAAACAAAACAAAAACATAAACTTAGAGTGATGTACTTAAGAGTCATATCTTAGAGAATACTTAGACTAAGTTAAAGTGTTTATTTAATCATTTTAGTTTTCATTTTTGAGCACTGCTGGGAAAAGACTTTGAGCATCAGATTCCAGAAACTGGCCTGAAACACCTCCTCATGGTGCTGCAGTGTACATAGACAGGGACTCTTTAAGATTCCCATATTTAACTGTTAACTGTGGGATGATTAACTGTTTTTCATTTAACTTATATAAAAAGTAAAACCTCTTATTGGACGATAAATTCTAGAAGAATTGGTGCGTATCCTCGTGAGAACCTCGTGAGATTCTAGTCGCTGAGGAAAAAAGTATCTTCCAGATTAACTTTTTTGTGATTTCCTGCCTTTTTGGAGCTAAACAAGATCACCAAAACACATGAAATATCACTGGAAAGGCCACAATGTCCTCTTTTTAGCACATCAGTACTTAGTGGGGTTGCTCAAATAACTCAAAAGATAGAGACCAAAAAGAAATGTCCATTACAGAGGACATAAGTGAACAGGCTGGGTCTCAGGAGGGTGGAAACAACATTTACTCCACCCCTGTGACAGTGCCGCTAACTGTGGTCTTTATCTGCTCCGGGAACCTGTTTAATGCTCAACAGTCCAACAGCCTCACTGTTCATGGCTTAACTGGGACACAATTTTCCCATCGCATCTCATTCGAATCGGGACAATAACCCCGTCCACTGGAGACAACAGGAGAGAGCTGTTTGACCGGTTTATTGGTGTCAGGTTTACTCTGTGAGCACGTGTCAAAAGGACGCACAAAGACGTGGCCTCGTTGTGAAAATATTAAAGTGATGGAACAACAGAACAGCTGAGGTCATCATAGCTGCTGTAAACTAGTCGCTGTAAGATCCTAGTGATAACTTTTATAAACCACTTTGCAAAATAAATGAACATTTGTTGAGGTTTAATGTTCTAAACATGGAAAACAGGATTTCTAGGTTTATCCACTCAAGGGCTGTTTTTCATTTGATACATGATCTCATCTGATAACACCAAACCAAAATTCTTACAGAGTCAGTAAAGCTAAACTCGTGTAACTCAGGTAAGTGATGTGAACACAGTAAGGTTTCTGGGCTGATGGCAAAATACAGAACAGTGACAAATTAAATAAAAACCAGTGAAACCTGCGAGGGAAGGCTCGCTGCCTCCTGCTTCATCCTGTGAAGGAACGCTTCCTTCTGCTGTTTCGGGGCCTAGCAGGGCGTTGGGATGAAGATGACATTCATCACTAGCTCTGGCCTTCACAGTCACATGATCTCAACCCAGCTGACCACAGGTGGGAGATTTTGGTTCAGCACTTTACTTTTCCTTTAATTTGTCACTCACCTGTATTGGATGGTTCAAGTAACAGAACAGGATTCAAATGTTGTAACTTCACATTTCAAACACAGCAGAAGTGGGATGCACTGACACGTATCCTGCTCTAATAACTTATAATGAGCCCTCTGGGTTCCCTCCAGGCCTTCAGTGAAGTAAAGTAACCTTCTAGTAATGGTCTAACTCTTCTTCTTGTGTATCTGTATTGATACAGATGTTTTCTGGTAACACCGCATCTCAGGAAACAGGACATCAGGTCAGTCGCTTCTTCTCCACATAAACGTGAGGTTTAGGTTACGTTTGCACGCTTGTAGGGGCAGGAAGGGAGGAGGTAAGGAGGAAACATCTGTAATTCTACTTGTGCATCAATCCATTTATGATCTCCCACCAATCCAAAGTTGTGTCCAACTAGCAGCAGGCTGCCCAGGCCAGGTGTTCTTAGACCAAATGAGCTGTATAATCTCTCCAAGAAGGTCTAGGTCCAGGCCAGGGTCTCATCCCAGTTGGGTGTGTCCTGAAATCGGCCAAAAGGAGGTGCCCAGGACACATTCTACCTGGATGCCCAAACCATCTCAACTGCCTCCTTTAAAAAGGTCCCCACCACATTTCTAAGCCACCCGATGCAAGTAACTGACAGTCATCTATCTTTACTGTCTAACTGCTCACCTGCCTGCTCGAGCCTTCATGTATATTTATTTTTAATATTACTTATCTAGCGGCATTAGCGGGTATTCTTTTAAATTCTCAAGTTTGATTTCTTTGACATTTACTGAGCACAATCACACAGAGTGAACCTTTCTGAGTTTTTATCCTGCAGATACGTCAGTGCATCCCAGCGCAACTACGTTTTTAATTGTACATACACACATAAATATACAGCAACACACATCTTTCGTAGTATTGATTGTAACTGATGGCAGTCACCAGTCAGCCAAACACATCTGCAGACTTGTTGTCAACAGAAAAAGGCACGACTGGTATAAAGCAGAAATATCAGCCCTTGAAACTGGTCTCAGGAGCTCCGCTGTGCTGCAGGCTCAGATCAGATCAGGAACCAGTAACCGTGGCTCGATATGTCAGATAAAACGTCCCCATTTATTTCAAGTGAAACCTGCGATGTTTGAAGTCGAGACGTCACCACAGCTGCAAACATCTGCTGTTCAGCTTTAGCCCTGCAGCTGCTTTAGTGCTGATTCATCGCTGTTTGCTTCACTTTGGTCCAGAGCAAAAATAGACTATATTGCCAAAAGTGTTCACTCACCCATCCAGATCATTGAATTCAGGCGTTGCATCACTTCCATGAGCACAGGCGTGTACAGCCAAGCACCTAGACATGCAGACTGCTTCTACAAGCATTAGTGAGAGGATGAGTCGCTCTCAGGAGCTTGGTGAATTTCACCGTGGTACCGTGATAGGATGCCACCTGTGCAACAAGACCAGGCATGAAATATCCTCGCTACTAAATATTCCACAGTCAGCTGTTAGTGGTTTTATAAAAAAGAAACGTGGAAGTGAGTGAGAAAGAGAGCAACTCAGCTACAAAGAGGTAGACCGACCTGAAATCACAGGTCAACGGATGCAGAGGTGCATAGTGAGCAGAGGTTGATCGCTGCAGACCTCCAAACTTCATGTGACCTTCAGATTAACTCAAGAACAGTGTCGAGAGAATAGGTTTCCATGGCAACCAAGCCTTACATCACCAAGTGCAATGCAAAGGGTCAGATGCAGCGTGTAAAGCATCTAGAGCAGCAGAGATGTGTTCTCTGAAGTGATGAATCAAACTTCTCCATCTAGCAACCTGATGGACGAGTCTGGGTTTGGTGGTTGCCAGGACAACAGTACTTCTCTCACTGTATTGCGCCAAGTGTAAAGTTTGGTGGAGCGGGGATTATGGTGTGGGGTTGTTTTCAGCAGCTAAGCTTGGCCCTCAGTTCCAATGGAAGGAATTCTTCATGCTTCAGCATACCAAGACATTTTGGACATTTTCATGTTCCCAATGTTGTGGGAACAGTTTGGGGATGGCTCCTTCCTGTTCCAACATGACTGCACACCAGTGCACAAAGCAGGGTCCACAAAGACGTGAATGAGTCAGTTTGGTGTGGAAGAACTTGACTGGCCTGCAGAGTCCTGACCTCAACCTGATAAGAACATTTGGGGTGAATTAGAGCCGAGTCTGTGAGCCAGGCCTTCTCATTAGACATCAGTGTCTGACCTCACAAAGGGGCTTGTGGATGAATGGTTAAAGGAAGGAAGAAGAGCGAATACTTTTGGCAGTATAGTGCATCTCAGCAGCTTCTTGGTGTGTTTCTAAGCTCCCTGAGGTTGAATGGTGACGACCAGCAGCCTCATTTGACCCAAAAAACGTCTCAGCTACACATTAAATAACCTGATCTAATGAGTTTAAATGAGCCTTCATGCTTCCCTGAGCAGGAACCAGTTTAATGACCTTGACCTTGACTCACAGTGTACTCGAAGTAAATATAATAACAAGTTTTCACACCGAATGAACCTTTGCAGCGAGAAATGAAGGACAAGCTTCATGTTGTCGCTCATGCACAGTTAAATCGTATGATTTACCATTGCTTTATATAAAGATGCAAAATAAGGGAGAGGGTCTGAAGAAAAGTGAGCAGAGCTGCAGGACTTTTACCTTTGGTTGCTCCAAAAAGATTAAAAATGCATGAAAAAGGACGGACGCTTACTGAACCCTGAGGCTGACCCTTGTGGATGTAACCAGACTGATCTAACCAAAACTGACTAAAGAGTTCTGGGTACCAGCTGGAGTACTGCATTAATGTGTAGCTTTAGAAGATTCTCCTGTAGCTGTGAGAGCCTTTAAATTGGTACACAAACAACATCATATTTTCATAAATCCTAAAAACGTTCATCGCCATAAAAAGAATCAATAAAACACGCTGGACTCATAAACTTCCTTGACAGACTCCTGCCTGTCAATCAATGCCCTTAATTTAAAAACTCGCCTTCAAAATCCACATCAGTCAACCCTTGTGACAGACAGTGAGAGTATTCAGTGATTTTGCTTTCATTCGCTCCTCAGCTCTCATCGTGCTGGTTTAAGTGGAGGTAACGAACTCTCGGTCTTTCCTCCACAGCTCAACAACCTGAATGACTGAAGCGGCATCCTCTTCCACTCCTTCCTCCTCGCTTTAGTTTTCCCGTTGGGTCTTTTGCTTCTTCCGGGCCAGCCGGGCCTCACGCATCTCCTCCAGAGTTTTACGTGGGTCCATGATGAACGCGAAAGCCACTCCGGCCGTGCCATCGCCGTTCTGCCGAGAGAAGCACAGGAAGGTGGCCCAGAGGAAGGCGCAGCAGCCCATGAAGGCAGTCCGCATGTACAACGGCATCAGGACGAAGTTGAGGAACTAGAAAAGTAGAAGCAGAGAAGAGGACCATCATGGAAAAGGGTCTTCTGAGAGGTTTTCCTGTCAGTGGGGTGCACACTGTGATTCAGAATCTACACACTTCATGTGAAAAAAACTCAAAATGTACCAGTAAATAATATCAGACAGCACAGCAGCAAAATCTCTGCTTTTTAGTTCCACTCCTCTGAGATTTTTATTTTTTCTGACTTTAAACAAATAAAAATGAAAACAGGCTCACCTGCATGAATGGCCAGTACATGAGTCCAGTCTGAAAGAGAAAACAAGACACGATCAGAGTTTCCATCTCCATGCACACCTGAGAGGATCCCAGGGAGAGGCCAGGGATGAGTGTAGAACTGAGGCGAAGGTGCTGTGAGTGGGATGCTTCCGTTCATTAAAACATCGCACACAGAGCTGCCAAACTGCACGCAGCAACATCTGTTGCTTTACTATTTAAAACATTAATCTCTATCAGGTCACTGTGGATCCTTCTAAGGTTAGAAAAGAGGACATATCTCACTCGCAGTTTCAATCCACTCACTTAACGCAGCTTGAAATGGAGAGTCAGCAGCAACGCCTGCACAACTGCACTTCAATTAGTGTGTGCAAATTATTATACTCCTTAGAGTATAATTTACACAAAGGTGATAAAGCAGAAAAGATCTGAATAAGACAGAGATAGAAGGGAGACACGCCAATCTCAGAAAAACAGTGAAGCATGGCCACCAAACATGGTTAGAGCGCAGCACTGAAGCTAAAAGACTGGGGTTAGAAAACGTTACATGAAAGAGAAGTTAGGTTTAGGTGTGGGTTACAAGTTAACAGAGGGGGAAGTGCAGCAGCAGCATCCTCCTCTGTCACACTGATCCTCTGCATCTCCTCCTTCACTACATCCATGAACCTCCTCTGAGGTCTTCCTCTTCTCCTCCTGCCTGGCAGCTCCATCATACTTTGTCCAGTAGATCCTCCCTCCCACCTCTGCACATACTCAGACCACCTCAGCCTCTCGAACTCTGAGCTGTCCCTCTGATGGACTGATTTCTAATGGTGCTCACTTTTGTTGTTTAGTGTGTGTGTGCATGTGTGTGTTTAGTCACTGTTTTTCAAGATATTGTATTATGCATAACTGTTGTCTGCGTGTGAGGATGGATGACTCACGACTGCAAGTACAAATAAAGCAACCCGAAGCTGTTTTACTGTAATCACAGCAACATGACACTATGAGTCACACTTGGCAGGACTTCAGCTCCTGAACGTCCTGAAACCCACTGACATTTTTATCCTCTGGCTGAATTACCCCGCGTGCTCTCCTCCGGGCGCCGAGCCCACTGCGCAAAAGCAGAAGTGCCGGTGGCGTAATCTACATTAATCCGGTTGTGAGCTGGCAGCGGCAGAAGCTACCGTGAAAGGTGACTTTCCTTCGTTTCGTGCCGCTGCTGAAGCGCTTCTCACCTTCCAGGTGTTGAAGAACTTCTCCCTCCAGTCCTCAAAGACGTCCTCCTTTCCCTCCAAGAAGCTCACCCCTGCGAAACAGAGAGCAGGTTTAAGGCACGGCTTGGGTCGTGCGTCTTTACGCACAAATGTAAAAACTATGGAACAAGACCTCACCTTGAACACTTTAGTATTTGACTGAGAGACAACCTTGACCAGAAACCACTTCACCTTCACACTCATTTAAGATGTTAGAGTCTCATTCACAAACTGACACTCTTTAGATTTTATAGTAATGGTTTGTCCCGATTGTCCAATTATCACTCATTATCAGCGTCATTCTGCGTCTGCGCTCTGGCTCCGATGGCTGGTTGACATTTATAGTTGGAAAAATAATCAATAACTCTCATATTTGATGTTCCGACCAAAGATAATGTTTGCTGGCTTCAAACAAAAGCGCATTGAAGGGGGGGGGGGGTGTTTCTCACGCGCTTTGCTTTAACACGAAGCAAACTCTCAGTTCTGTAACCCTTAACGTGGATAAAATGAAAGCTGCCCATCTTACCGGTGTAGAAGACACTGGTGGCCAAAGGCGACGCGAAGCTTTGGTCCAGCAGCAGTTTGCGGAAAACCATCCCGGCGGACTTTCCAGGGAAGCGCCTCTCCAGGGCGCGTAGCCAGAAGTAGTTAAAGTTTCCCTGGAAGCTGATTGCCACGATGGCGACATTGCGAGTGTGTTTCCAGTCCATGTGCTCCTTCTGAGCGATGAGCTGGTGGACTAGGTCACCGCCTGCGAATAAGCATCCGTACAAGGTGACATTAGCCAGCCAGGGGAATCGCTTGGCGGCTTCTTTGAGTACAGCTCTCCTCATCGTCTTTGGCACCGACGGGGACGCAGGTGCCTACAGAATGACCTGCCCTGAGTGGTTTCACCTCAGCAGTCAGGATGCAGGCATACCGGTTGGATTCGTTTGGCTAGGCCCTAGTGCCAGCCTACTGGACGACAGGACGCAATCCATCAGTGCGCCGTAATCTGGGAGGGATTACACGTTTCCGCTGGCAGCAGGAATATCGCACATCATCAGATCTCAGATGAGAAATGCCCAAAAAACTCCCCGAAAAATGCAATGCATAAAACCTGCCATGGCTTCGCTTTGGTCACGGTAAATTTAAATCCAGATCATTCTTTCTACTTCCCGTGAATCAGGTGCGTCTCCAGCAACAAATCCTGCAGGTCAAGCGCTAATCTGCTCAGGCGTACATCCCGTCCAACTGCGTCACCAACGCAGCAGCTCTGCGCTGAGGCACCTGTCAAAAAGTGATTTACGGTAATTTACCAAAAAGAAAAAAAAGGATTGTCAATATTTAACTGGTTTAAATGACTTGTTGGGCTATCGTCTGTGAATAAAACAAACCTATCTGTCGTGAATTGTATCAAACCATTTTCAGTCAGAAACAGGTTGAAGTTGCAATCAGTTTTTGGCAAAGCGACTTTTATATATCCTTTATTTATGAGTGCAAAACTCTCACTGACATTAAAATGTATTTTTTTAATCAGGCCAAGAATGCAGAAGAAATATAACATATCACTTATAAAAGGATATTTTAAGTGGCCCAGAAGCACTGGACTGATTGTCGATCACAGAATAGGTACAAAACATTATCATTATTTTATACATAACTCCTTCATAAGTCCTGCTGAACGCAGACTATTTATCAATATCAACAAAGGTATTAAAAGCACATTAAAGGAAGGACAGTACATGGCTGTTCTTTATCTTATTATATGCAAATGAAATATAAAATCAAAGCTTAATTTATTCAAACAATTAATCATCAAGGAAAATGTGTTTGGCATAAACTAAATGTATACCGGTCAAATTAATTTAATTTGACCAGATTCCATTAAATGTAGCATTTTACACGCCAAATATTTAACAAAATTACTCGGGAAATTTACATGTAATTAAATTATGTAAAAGTTAAGAGTTTGGGCAGAATCTGTCTGAGTGTACAGCCAGGTAAAGACTTCAAATACTATGGAGAAAAATGTAGATCTCTCATTCTGAGGGTCCTTGAGTAGATTATCCTCTGTCTTTTCTTAAAGGCCTGTACAGCCTAAGGTTTTCCCTAATACTGCAACTAAATCAAATAAAATCAGGAGTTGTCTGGAAAGACATCACGAAAACTTGAATGATGGAAGGTTGTGATCCAAATGCCATATCCATTACAGATCACTAGAGGGCGACATCTCTCCACACTGGGGCTGTTTTCCTTTTCTCGCTTGTTAAGTACAAAATTAGAAAGAAAAAATAATAATAAATATATATATACTGTATGTTTTATATATATATATATATATATATATATATAAAACATACAGTTTATTTTTTTGTGTATTTAGTGAGTTTAGTTTTGGCCTAAGGGGCATTCCATACACAGTCGGTCGCTTAACTTCCATCACTTCCACTTCGATTAGAAGGTTAGTCTGATTAGGGTGGGGAAAAGAGAGAATATCTTACTCCTATTGGTTGATTGTCTTGTCATTCGAAGCGACTTCCTCTGTGATTGGCTGCTGCCCTTAAAGCCTCGGAAGTGTCATTTTTGGACTTGAGTGAAAACTTGGGCATATCGGTGTGGCGGCGGCTTCGAGCTGATTCATAACTCTCGGGAAGAAATGGCCACCAGAAAGCACTAAAACAGGTACGGCTGGGGTTTTTACCGCCGCATGTTAAGAAGGGCTGTTGATTTAGTCGATGTGTCGGTTGTCTTGTTGTCGTGATTAATGTGTGTGTTGTGTTTGTTCTCTCAAGCGTGCTCCGATTTCATTGTCTTTTTTCCACAACAAGCAAGCTCCAACTTTTTCTCAGTTTTCCGACCTTATTCTGAGAAGCTGACGACAAACTAGTCTCAACACCAACTCGTGTATGTCTACTCTTTGTCGTCCCTCTTCATCACCTCTTTATTACCAGTTTACGCCTCATACTTTACAACTTTCTCGGCAGTTGGTCGAACGCTCTCCTCATCCTCTTAAATTCAGCCTGACAAGCAGCACGAAGCATCCATTAAGTTTGGGTTTTAATGGAAAAAGTTGCTACCTGCTAAAAATATTCCATGCCGATTTTTTTTAACACGTTGTAAATCTTTTCAAAGTAAATAATATTTTACTATGATTGATCGTTTTTGCTGCCACTCGCGTACACTTGGAAAACTGGTGATTTTCTAACGGAGTTCGGCTCAACCCGACTTTAAAAGACATCCCAGGACCAAAAATGTGAGAAATTATGCGGCGTGACTTACCTTATTAAACATTTTATGTATTCTTGATTTTTTAAAGACGACAAGAGCAGCTCTAATTTTAAATTCTTCTGTCATTATCGTATTATCGCCGTCCTCTTTCACTTACACGAACAGCACGTACTGTCCTTTAGGTTAGACTTTCAGTCAAGAGTGTTATTACTTTTAAATAGTTTTCATGCCGAATTATTTTAAACAACTTATTTATAATAAAAAACAATGTACTGTTTTGTTATGACTTATTATTGTTTGCTGACACCAGCACAAACTTAAAAATGGGAGTTTTTCCAGCAGAGTTCGGCTCAACTCAACTGTTGGAGCTCCAGAGCATGAGAAACCACGCAGAGTGAGCTATGCAGTCACACATTTTATGCATTCTCGAGCACTTTTAAAAAGACTGGAGAAGCCCCTGCAGTTGGTGGTGGGCGGGAGTTTATCTAAAAAATAACTGCAAAATACGGAAGTAACAGAAGCGAGCCACGACATGTCTGATGCCTCCTGCGCTGTTAATAATAATAATAGCGTGGGTTTGCACTTGAGTGCCTGTCATAGCTTTCCTGTTGCATGTGCAGCTTGCTCAGAGGAGCTGCCTCAGGCCTCTTTAGGGACCTTCTAGCTGGGCTTTATCAACTTTACATTCAAATCCACACATTTTGGGGCATTTAAATGCAACACTGAGGTTGATTTTAATATATATTCAGAACACTTTTGATGTAGAGGATATGTTTGTGGCCTCTGACATGCAATGTGTCATCTTTATCGTTTTTATTGTTGGCATACGGTATTTTAACCTCTTAGCATCCAAACATTTTATTGACTCTTCACCCAAATGAGACTTCATTTGAAAGGTTGCATCTTCTAGTTTCTTCTTGGAAACTTGTGCTTGTTTAGCATGAAGCTAAAATCCGAACTAAGGTCATGAAAAATGACCTATTTACAGCCTCACCAGCTTAATTTCCTGTTCACGATACAGTATGTAGTACACAGTACACACTATAACCATCGTGATACAAATTCAGTGTTTTCTTTCTCTGTCTAGGGCAGCATTAGATAAGTGTTTACAGCCCTGCTCCCTGATGTGTATTGAAGCAAAGACTATTGCACAAGTAGAGCATGAGTGGAGATGCACACTTTAGGATGTCTCAACAATGCACAAAAAGTTGTTGTGGGTAAGGCGGAAGTATTCCCTGTGGAGGAAATCTTGTATAATAATGAGAAAAAGTGAGAAACACCCTGCGTCTGTGGCTAAAATAGTTGTGCTTAGACAGTAAAACAGCTTAATAGTCCAAAAATTCACAAGAGATTGACTCAACTGTCATGTGTGGCAAAGAGAAGCATGCCTTTGTTGATTGGATAATTGCATACCCAACTTGTAGTTAGAGCTTGTTTATAAAAGCTGAACTATAAGGCCTATTTTTGACACACTGTAGGCTTCATTTATTTACACACAGATCTTAAAAAGCATTGATTTTTGACTGCTAAAGTGTCACAGGAGCCCCGCTGCAGCACACATATATTTGTGAGACTGTAAACGGTGCGGGGGAGCTTGAAAGCAGGACAGCGGGTCATGGCTCCATGCAGGTTGACCTAAATATCCCAGAGACACAGACGGCTGAACTCTTTAGAGAATAAATAAAAAGTAGGAGGAGAAATTCCTGTTCATTTGTTTCTAGCCACACCCGTGTCATCTAAACAGAGAGGGACCTGGCTGAGCGCTCAGAGAGAGGGATTATAAGCCACAGGATTACAGAGACAGAGGGAGAGAGGGCCTGCACCCCTCTCTTTGAAGGATGTAAAACAATGTCTGGGCTGTTAAAGGAGCGTGAGAGTCGAGGAGCAGTGTTAGCAGTGGGCGCTGTTTATGTCAAAGTGACTGCATGCCTGCATACTTATTTGCATTCATGTGTATAAATATATATATACTGGGGTTTTGTTTGGAGGCATGACACTGGATCTCTGGTCGGTTGTCTGTGCATCAACAGAAAACGTCCTGTTTAGTTTGATTCAGGTGATTGGTATGGCAGGACTGTGCGAAAATCTTGAGCCACCCCTAATTTCTTTGTTTTATTTCAAATGAGCCAGATTTTACTGTAATAGTTTTTTGAAGTACTCGTCAAAAGTTCTCCAGCTCTCTGAAGGTCTTTCAAAGTTCTTCACTGGCTGTGTTTTCACTCATTTTCAGTCCAGTCCTTGTACCTGACCATTTTCACAGGTTTACTGGTTTTAAACACTGACCTATTAACCATTCGGGTATAAAAAGTACGCAGCTGAAGGGAGAACCAGTGTTGTGTCTACACAGCAAGGATCCATCTTCAAATTGTATCTTTTTGCATTTTGTTACTAGCAGCCTGTCACAAAAGCACAGCCTGTTCTCATTTCTTTAGATGAATGTATTAAAAATGCTAAAGGTAAAAGTTTGACAGGAATAACAGCAGCAAAGTGATTCCCAAAGAGAGCTATTAGCCAAAACCTTGGCATATTTTGGCATGTTGTGCAGTGTATCCTTAAAACTGAACAAGTGGAGGACAAAAAATATCTACAGCAGATGAACAGCATGTGAAAGACATCAAGAAACGAGAAAAAGGAAAAGAGCAAAGAGAGATGCATCTGTACCGTCAGCTGATCCATCTACTGCTCGCTGAAGCCTCATCAGAGATGGTCTCAGTGGAAGGGCGGCTGTCGAGGCGCCATTCTTACGAAGGGAAACAGAAAGAAAAGGCTGACGTATAAAAATTACACAAGAACTGGACTGAAAATCAGCAAAACAGGTGTTACAGACGAATCTGGATTTGAAATGTCTCGTTCTAATCATGTCCAGTGTTTGTGGACGAAGTCAGCAGAGAGCTACAGCAGTGAGTCTGCAGCCGTCTGTAAAACATGCTGGAGGCTCTGCCATTGTTGGGAGCTGCATTTCAGCCCGTGGTGTTGGACATCCCGTTTTGTTCCACCATGCAGTACCATCTGGAAATCCTCTGAATGCAATGATCTCAAACA